GATAGATAGATAGATAGATAGATAGATAGATAGATAGATAGATAGATAGATAGATAGATAGATAGATAGATAGATAGATAGATAGATAGATATTAAAGCGTTTAATAATATGCTGAGCCTCCCCTTATTCAGTTGAATTTTTATTTTATTTTTGCTTTTTTAAATACATGTTTAAGTTCCCTTGAGGCCAAATTCTGTTAAGAAAGCGATAAAGTATTACTCTGTCAGCTATGACCATTTCGGTCTCTGTGGGATACACACCAGCAGCAAGACTGAGATACAAAGGTCTTTTATTTTGTTCACATGGGAATGTAACTCATATCCTCATTTGTATTCAGGCCGATGGGCTATAAATCATAATTATATTAGACCATTGACCCTTAACTATTTACTTAAAGTTCACAGAAGAAGCAGACCTCACATTAAAAAAATTCTTTCCACTTTTACATGATCACCAATTCTTAGCACAGGCGGGCTTTTCGCTCTGTTTCATATCGTACTGGAGTGCAATACGAGTGACCGGGATTCGAACGCCCGAATGGGGCATTCGCGTAATTTTTTTCAGGTAATGTTGGTGGCTCTGCCTCCCAAGCTAAATCCCCATAGCAAAAGGGCATCAGAATGGGAGGTCCTGTTTTACTATCTCCTAACTAAGCCGTATTAAAAGTAGTTTCCTCGTATCCTCACGTACCTTTCTTTCTATGCTTCCACTGTGCGTCGTTTCTCTCCAGGAATGGCAGTATTATTGTCGACTACGACGTTCAATACGAGGCGGAGAAGCTGATTCATGATCAAGGGGAGCCTGACGAGGACTCCCTCAACAGGACATTGCAGTCAGCAAACGTCAAATTGTCGAAATTGGACAGCGTGAACTCGATTTACTTAAGCGACCAATATGAGGCTTTCGTTAAAGCAGGTGAACTGGAATGACTTTTCTTAATACCACACCAAAATGTAAGACACTGTCTTGTAAAAGAATACTTTAGAAACAAATAATGCATTACTTTGTAAAAGAAGGTTTCTCGCTATTGACGTGATTCAAACACTATGTGTTGCAACATTCTAACTGTGCTCTCTTCTGCAGCAACGGAGAAGGTGAAGAAAGTGAAGGGAGATCTTTGTGCGGCTGAGGATGTGTGCCCTGAGGCATTCATATGTGTCAACGGAACGAGTGATTACCCATCCTGCCAGCACAAGTGTAATGGTCATCACTGCTACAACGGCGGTTATTGCGTGCTGGACACGGCTCAGACACCCCTGTGCAGGTACATGTCGTGTGTGTCCAGATATACAGACTTCAACAAAAGTTAAGGACTACTTTGACAGACAGTCCTAATTTTTAAAAATATCCGAAAAAAAGACAGCTAGGAATGTTTCAAAATGTTTGCTCTGTGTACGTGTTAATGGGTTACAAACGTGTACTGCAAAGCCTCCTAAAGGACATAAAACCACCACGTGCATCACGGAAATCCTCTGGGAATTTTAGCCAAATTTTCTGTTTTTTAACGACTTGTGTGCGACAACAAAGACTTTCCTCAGTTAAAATTTCTGGTGCACGTCGTATACGGACGTACGGTCTCGAACTGTTCTCACTTTGGTGGCAATAATATAAGCCACCGTTAGCGCAAAATCCTGTATCGCATCAAGATACCACCAAGACGAAAGCTGAAAGACTTTGACTTTGATCGTGCCAGAGCTATGGCATGGCTTGAGGATGGAGTTGGAGCCATAGAAGTTGCCAGAAGGCTCACAGTGTCACACTCTGTCATTGTCCGCCTGAGGCAGCGCTATCACGCCATTGTATCAGTCCAAAACGCCCACGTGCAGGTCGACCCAAGAAGACCACCCAGGGTACTTGCAAGTGGTCCCTAACTTTTGTTGAAGTCTGTGGTTGGACAAATATAGTTGGACAGATGTAATGGGACAGATATAGTGGGAGAGATGTAGTAGGGCAGATATAGTGGGACAGATGTAATGGGACAGATATAGTAGGACAGATATAGTGGGGCCGATGTAGTGGGACAGATGTAGTGGGACAGATGTAATGGGACAGATATAGTGGGACAGATGTAATGGGACAGATGTAATGGGACAGATGTAATGGGACATATGTAATGGGACAGATATAGTGGGACAAATGTAATGGGACAGTTATAGTGGGACAGATATAGTTGGACAGATATAGTGGGACAGATGTAATGGGACATATGTAGTGGGGCAATGAGTCACGGAAGAAGGTACATCGTATTAACATATTGAGCATTCTGCGACAACGCAGTTTTGTGGCATTTTGAAAAAAAAAGGATAACATTTTTATTCGAACAGATTTTGCAATTCTCTTTTCTTTATCTAAAACTTTAAAAGGTATGCAAAAACATGCATACATGCAAACTACAAATTATACAAATTCACGTTTCTGGTTAATGTGTGATGGTTCACATGTGCGACAATGTTGCGTTTGGTATGCTGTGGGTTGCACATATTATGTGTCCACTACGTCCTTAAAGAGTTAAGCTTTTCATTCCTTCAAAACAACATTTGGTTAGATTTTGTCCCCCACTTACGCTCCTTGTTATGGAAATCGTTGTGAGCTTGTCCGTCCTTTCAGCATTTCGTGCACGTGGACTGTTTGTAGGAAAAACCCTTGATTTGGATTTCAGACTGTATTTTAGTAAACAACAAAATGCGTTCCACTTCACCCTCCTGTCACCCACACAAAAGCTACCAAGCTATCCCTACCAGACAGAAATGCCAACCAGTGGATCTCCCATTTAGTTTCCAATTTAACAAAAACCGTATTAACAAGACAACGAAAGCATGGGGTGAGGGAGAACAATGGACAATATTTTTTTTTTAAACAGGGGGG